CTTCCCTTATCCCCGCCTGGGACATGCTGCCCCTGGCCTGCTTGGCTCGGGTCCCGCAGGAGCTCTGAACCCAGCCGGGAAGGACCAGCCCTGGCAGCTAGGAGTCATGCCCCACGGTGTGTGGGTGGATCTCGTTCCTTGACGTGGGGCCTCCTTAAAAGGCTGCCTTCTAGGCTGTAGTCAGGCCTTCACCCTGGGGGGCTGTGGTGAATGGTCCCGACGCCCCCCCGGCCCTCTTCACATATCAAGTTGGGAAAAGGTCCTCCTCTGAAGCTCTGAAAGGCCCGTTGCCACCTTGAGGTGGACCTGCAAGCTTGGGTGAAATGGAGCAATTATCTATCCATTAACTTCGCTGAAGAGCCTCTCTGCTGCGCGGGCGGGAGCTGGTGCTGACTGGGTGTCCCCTGGGCATGGTCCCGACGCCCCCCCGGCCCTCTTCACATATCAAGTTGGGAAAAGGTCCTCCTCTGAAGCTCTGAAAGGCCCGTTGCCACCTTGAGGTGGACCTGCAAGCTTGGGTGAAATGGAGCAATTATCTATCCATTAACTTCGCTGAAGAGCCTCTCTGCTGCGCGGGCGGGAGCTGGTGCTGACTGGGTGTCCCCTGGGCAGAGCCGGGCGGTGATCTCGGTCCCCAGGCTGAGAAGATGGAGACGCTCATGGGCTTCTTGTGGTACCGGAGAACCCAAGACCCAGCTCCCAAAGCGCGGTGGTGATACAGATGGGGTGAGAGGGCCACGTCCATCTCTGAACAGCCAGGGTTCCCTTCAGCAGAGGTGGAGCCAGGCCACCCCAGTGCTAGGAAGGAGGAGATGTGTTTACCTCTGGCTAGTTAACACCTCATTAAACCCTGGCTGTTGCTTTGCCGGATGGAGCTGTAGAAATTCCCACTGTCTCTGCTGGGATGACAGACTTTTGGCCACTGTCTTATTAATCTCATGATGAACGCTAGGTTTTCACCCCGCTTATATGCGGCTGCATGAGGTGGAGTCCTACCTGTTGCCCAACAGATAGTTCCCAGCCGGCTCCCCCTCTAGTTTCACACCTCGTGGTTTTGCAGCTGCCTTTTTTTTTAATCTTTCTTTACAATTTCAGGTATGGTTGCTTCAGTAGTAAGTGAAGGAGGAGGACGGGGAAAATAAGTGGCTCTTCAAGAAAAAGAAACCCCAAATGTATTCCTCTATTTACGAAGAGCTTGCCCCGCCACTGTTTGACTTTAACCTACTTTGTATAATTTAACCTGGGCTATTAGCAACAGTCACAGTGAAACCTTGTTTTGGCAGAGTTGGGTTTTCTCAGCGTGCCACAGAAACTCCCCAAAAGCACCACGAGAGCCGATGGACGTGTGTGCGTGGTGCCGCTTGCTCCGCTGGCTTTCCCCTGGCCCGAGTGGCTAGTGGCGAGCCCGTCTGCTCCCCCGCAAATAATTAAACTAATAGCGAAGTATTTGCATCTTCCAGACATTAAGCCTTCCCTCTGAGGAGCGCTCTTCCCAAGAGCTGAATCATCAGTGTCTCCCTTAGTCAAATTAGGTCATGGTGTTGGCGCAATATTTTTGGTGTTAGGAGTGGGAATGAGGAGATTAACCCCTAATGACACTCTGCCGTTAATTAACGAGCCAGGGAGGCCAACGGGAGGAGAGTAGTGCCATTGTTTCAGTCTCTGCTGAGTCAGTGCAATGTGCCTTGGTTTATTTCTCCAAACCTACCTTTTTTTTTTGCCCCTGGCTGTTTTTTGAGGGACCCATAGTAGCTGGAAGCGTGGTTAGCGAAGGCACCGCATGGGTACGGCTTTCTCCTGCTGGGGAGGGCCTCCCGTCTCCAACCAGGAGAGTCCGAGTGCAAGAGCACACACGCATGCGGCCCCACGGAGGGGTGCTCATGGCGTAGACATGTGTGCTTATGGATGTAGCTGGACGAGGGTCCCTGCCTCTGGAAAGTATATCCAGCTCACAGGCTTTGTTTTATCTCCTGAAGCCAAGCTGGTCAGCATTGCGTCAGTCCCAAACCATGCATGTTAAGTCACCCACTTGATTGCAAGGGAAGCGTGAAGTTTTCACCCAGCAAGAATCTCCCGAATGCTTTCACTTTTCATTTTGAATATATCCCAAGATTTTTTTAATGCAATAAGCCATCCCTCCTTATTTTGTTTATTTTCTGTTGGTCTTTGTCATCTTGATGCCTACTCACCCTGCCCTCTTCCATTCCTTAGTTCACCACCGGCACCTGTAACGATGCTACGGTGCATAGCTGCGAGCTGTGTGGCAAAGGCTTTCGCTTGCAGCGGATGCTCAACCGTCATATCAAGTGTCACAGCCAGGTGAAGAGACACTTGTGCACCTTCTGTGGAAAAGGCTTCAACGACACCTTTGATCTGAAAAGACACGTCCGGACCCATACCGGTGAGAACGCGTTTCCCGGGGGCTTGCGGACGGCTCTGGGTAGCGGGAGGTGGGAGAAGGGGTGAGATTGGTCAAGGACGTCAGTTAAGGGTAACCCGGCAAGACAATAATACAAAACCCAGGTAAAGAACATTTGCAAAAAATAGCAGGGATGTGGTGGAGGAAAGGGAAAAATGTGAGCGTGGACAGATAAAAGCTCTAATCTAAAAGCTAATGAAATCTGAGGAGAACTAATGAAATCCGTGTGAAGCAGCATGGGTGCATGAGCTGCCATCCCGGTCCGATGTAATGTGGATGCGTGCTGCTGTGTCTGGGTCAGCGAGACCGGGATAACTCACCCGGGATAACCCACCTGGGGTTACTCGCCGCACGTTATCGCGAGTCCAGCGTGTACCGGTGCGCGCGGGCAGGCGGTGGATAAAAATGCTTTGCCCTCTAGAGGCAACGAGCAGCAGTATCTTGGTTTTTTTGCGAACCTTCCCCGCTGGCTGTCCCATGCGATGGGGTTATGGCTTGATTTTGGCATCGTCTGGAGAAACCAGAGTGTGGTTCATGCTGCGCCTCCAGCTTCTTTAGGGAAACTAGGCAACACATCTGATTTCTGCTAACCCTGCGTGCTGCACCCCCGCCTGCTTCAGGCTGCCAGCTCCCCCAATCCCCTTTTGGAGCCGTTTCCCTTTGCATGTCCAGCCATCCAGATCAGTTTGGCCGCTGGCCTAAACCGTCTCTACTCACTTGTTGTGCGTGTCACAGCATGGGTTGAAAATCAGGGGCAGTGGGTTGAAAAAGCTCCCGACAGCAGTTCCTGCTCTGGATTGGGGCGGGGGGGAGGTAAAAAAGTTGACTTTAACCTGGGCTAATTCCCTCCTTCCTGCTTGCACCTACATCAGATGTACAGGCATAACTGAGGATGCCGTGATTTAAGCCCATGATGGCACTGGAAGAGCAAAAAAAAGTCTCTCTCCCTTCTCTGCTCACTCTTGCTCGCCAGTCTCTCCCCCGGGCTGGAGGGATGCACTTTCTGTGGCCGCTCTGCAGTGGGGTCAGTTCCTGAGCCCACCCCAAACAGCGGAGATTGTGTTCCTTTGAATTGGATCAGTTGCCTCAAATCCAGCTTACTGGTCACAGAACCAGTGCTTATCCTAACCTGGAGCAGGGAGAAGGCCGCCTTTTTGTTTCTCTTTTTCTTAGTGGAAGTGATGGCTTAAATACCTATCAGCCCCATCCTCACCAAGCAAGATGCTTGCTGGCAGGCCAAGCTGGCTGCGCTCAGGAGGCTTTGAATTTGCGCTGTAGGGCACCTGGAAGGTGCATCCACCACATCTCCTGGGCACATTCCAGCTTTTCACATTTGAGTTATCTACGGGACCTGCCGATTATTTGGGCTCGCTCTGCAATGTCCCTTTTTTGGCTTAGGCACCATTAACCAGGCGCACCGCTGGAGGTGATGCAAGTATGTTGGTGGGCAGGGATTGTTTCTTAGCAGTAGAGCTCACAAAAACAATGCTGCCCATTTTGATGGGAAAGCAATGGCCAGAGCCGACGTTTTGGACTGTTTTGGTTGGTTTGCAAAGCTTTTGTGTGGAAAGGAAAGCTGCTGGCTGTGAGCAGGGAGCTGCTGCTGGGGTATGGCCGCAGTGTGGAGTCGATGCCTCTGAAAGAAGTGATTTTTCAACCTGTCCCCTCATCCTTTGAGATCCTGAAACTAAATCCTAGAGGGTCTCTGTTCAGAAGCTAAATATATATATATATGCTGTGGCAGGTAGGATGGAACTCGCTATGCAAGAGTGGAGCCAATTTTGCAAAACTCTGGAATGGAGGAAGGATCTTTGTGCTGGACAGGAGTGAAAAAACTCTGTCCTGGAAATGTGAATCTTATGGTTAGATTGTCCCCAAATTTAACAGAAGAAATCTGGTGACACTATTTTTCCTCTCCCGTGTAAAGCCAGGATGAACACTCACATATATTGTATTTGCCTGGTACTTTGGGTCACGGGGAGGATGACAGCTGGCTGCAGCAGTGGTACCAATAGTGTTTTGGCATGTGTCTTTTCCAGGCTGAAATACAGCATCTCTGAAAGCAGTGGCCTTTCTTATGTCAAAATTGTTTGCTGTTCAGGAAAGCTGGGCTATATTTGAATGTTAAAAAGAAGACAGATAAGCTGGAAGTGGTAGTGTTGGCTTTATTTTGTAGCTACCGGTGCTCATCTACATGTGCTTTACTGAATTTCGGTGTTCCAGTGGAAATTTTGTGCAGTGTTTTTTTAACCAGACTGTGCAATAGTAGAGTAGTGTCAAGAGTGAAAGCCAAACGTCCCACTCTAGCTTCATGGCATAAGCAGACTTAACCTTTAAAAAGTAACTAATATACACACTAATATCAAATTTTAAAATGATTCCTAAGTAATGAAGAGCTTCCCACAGCCCTGATGGGCTGAGCCATCCTGGCACTACCTCTCTTGTGCTCGCACTCGTGCCTGTGGAGCACTGTTGGGCATCAGAAACCAAGGATGGTGAAGGTTTAAATGGCCTTCAGATGAGCATGAAAAGGCACCTGAAATACTGTTTGTAAAAGATACATTTTTGTGTATGAATTCTCATGAAGATTTGGAGTTTCTTTCCAATTGCAGTTTAATGTAACTGAAGCAGTCTCACAACAGCAGGTGTTAGGAAACTTCAGTCTTGATAGTTTAAGCCAGTGCACTGGGATAACCTCTTTTTACAAGACTTGCAAAAATGCAGTCAAGGTGCTGCTTATTGGTACTTGTAATCAGTTTGGATTTCTGGTAGAAACATCAGTGACTCAGAGGCGAACTTAACACAATCCAATTACAAAGTTACAACGGTCTGTATGAACATGCGTGCTTTGCCCTTTTTTGCCTGGCTATTAGTCACCGTAGCTCCAATCTTCCACACACTCACATTTCACCTTTCATTGGGAAAAGAGAGCAGTTTAGGTAACTCCTTGTATCAGTTTTAAGGCTGGTCTTTGCTTGAAAACTTCCTGAGCCAGTCTAGTAAGTAAAATCACAACTTTCATAGTTTTTTTTCAAGTGTCGATAAACCCTTAGCTATTTGTCATTCAAATACTGGGAGGTTGTTGTTAAATCAGTGCTGATTGGTGGTAAAATGGATACTCTTTACTGCTCAGTATTTTTATAATGTTGGTTGTCTGTACCGAACGAAACTGCTCGGGCATTGAAATCACAAGCCAGCCCCTTCTCCCTCCTCCGGAGACACGCATACCTATTTCTTTCGTCTTAATGCACTTCTCTTCTAGAACTTGAGCTTGTAATCTCAGTCATCGCATCTATATTCTATGAAAACGTTCTCTCGTTTGAAGTACTGTGGTCACTGTATGTTCATGTTGGGCTGCTGCTCACTGAAGCCTCACTAAGCTTTGCTCACTAAAAGAGAAAAATTAACATCTTACCGAGATACAAGATTTCATTCATTATAAAGCCAAAATGAAAGGTTAGCTGGAACCGATAGTATTACCTAATCACAGGACTTCAAAAAGTCGGGGCACTAAAGGAGTCAGTTTTGCAAGATTTGGTAATGGCTTCTTCTTTAGGACCAAAGAGCCAATGCGTCCCTGTTATCCTCAGCATCTGCCTACGTCTTCTCGAAACATTTCTAGGTTTTCTATTCCTAAATATATCAACCCATTCCTGAAAAGTTTAGTGTGAAAGTAGGGTGTTTTATTTAGCTGGTTGGTTCCTCGGGCTAGTAGCTCGCCGCTGCTAGGTATTTGCTCAACAGCTGATAGGCCAGAGCCTTGCTCTTAGCTGGTTCCTTAGTCGGCCGTAATAAACGCAAATCAGAACGGTAATCGCTGCCTTTTAACGTTGCAGGAATTCGTCCTTACAAATGTGAGGTTTGCAACAAAGCCTTCACCCAGCGCTGTTCCCTGGAGTCCCACCTTAAGAAGATTCACGGTGTGCAGCAGCAATACGCCTACAAACAGAGGCGAGATAAACTTTACGTGTGCGAAGACTGCGGCTACACGGGCCCCACGCAGGAGGACCTGTACCTGCACGTTAGTAACGTTCACCCCGGAAGCGCTTTCCTGAAAAAAACCTCAAAAAAACTTGCAGCAGTTTTGCAAAACAAACTGAGCCCTGTCCTGCAGAGGAACTCCAAAGATGACGACAAAGATGAGTAACACGGTGGATTACAGTGGTCTAAAGGAATAAAGTTTACATGTAGGACTATATATGTATTATTTTATTAAAAACAGTTTTGAAAGAAATCCCTGAAATGAAAGGGATGCTTTTGTTAATGGGACTCTATTGATGTTGGTAGAACCTCAACTTGAAATATTCCCATATATGATGCGAACATCAGACTTCATTATCTGGCCAAAAAAAAAAAGGAAAGCTTGGAAGAGGCTGTCACCTCTTGGAGTATTTACTGAACTGACATTCAGGCAACCTGTTTTCTGTTTCAGCTCTGCCACACATCCGAGTGGCCACTGACAGATCATTTCACCTTTCCCCAGCGTATTTCATAAAGATAATAACCATTACCTTCCGTACAAATTACTTTTGAGAGGTTTGGGTGAAAAGTGCCACGTAAGAGCAGCTACTAGTACATTGTTCTACGCAAAATGAATTAAAATGGTCTTAAGAACAGGCGTACGCTGTATCAGCAAGTAAGATAAAATGTGCAAATAACCTTAACTCTGCCCCCCATGCAGGAAACTAATGATTTATGGAAGCGTGATCCAAGGTGAGCTGAAACTTTTTTTAAAGGATGCAGAACTTTTTCCTCTCAACCTTTCTCTGCTAGCGAATGGCATTATTCCAGGGCAGACTTCCAGTCATGTTTTAGGTACTTTAAGCTGTGAACTTATTTTATCATGTTTAGATTTAAGTGTAACCTTAACTCTGACTTTCCCAGACTTGTCACGCTCACTTTGGAGATTATTACCACATCCTTTTAACATGCATCAACATCAACCCAGAAACCCAAAGAAAACACTTTAATGACTTGAAGATATGTATTTTTCTGTCACGATGAAATGCAATTTTGTGTGTATTTTATGGTGTGTATGTATGCGTGTGTGTTCATTTAGGGAGGGAGGTTGTTTGGTTTTTTTTTTTTTCTTTTTAATGATCAAGTCCCTGTTCACTAATACAACAGAGCAGTGCAATGCAGTGAAGGGGGAGACTTAGCCTGTCTGCCTCATGAGATCAGCCATGAATCTGGCCACTGTCCGTTTAGAAGGCTCCTAGTGAGACTGATGCTATGAGGGAAGGAGGTGGCGGCGATGATGATGAGGGACTACGTCGCTGTGCATTTAGGACTCCCCCTATATCCTGCTCCAGCTCCTGTTGACCCAGGACAAGCAAGAGGGTAGCCTGTAGAGACTATTGAGTGTGAATTTAGGGATTTTAAAAAAAAAAAAAAAAAAGGGCGGGGAGAGGGATGCTCATATAACTCCTGTCGCTGAAACTGCCTGGCACTTTAAGACTCTTCACAAGCTGCTGCAGCCTTTACTGGGCACTTGGGTGTCTATATTAGGAGCGACAGGGTGGGGTGGTAACTTCCTCAGCCACCACAAGGTACTCTGGTCCAAGCGCATGTTATTCATCTGTCTCTTAACTTAATGGACACAATCACTAAACAGGTTTTTACATCAATTTAAATGCGTAACAATTAATGGATTTAGTTTGTAAATTCCAAAAATTCATTTCGTGCTCAAAATAAAGCTGTGCATTCAGGGAGGATACGCTGTATTCTATATACGTTGAAACAAGAGCTGAAAATTAACCCATCTAGGACCTCCATAGCCATTACTACTAAAATGACAGATTCTGAGCGTCTCTGCAAGACTCGTAAAAGTCTTCTCAATTTGCCTCAGTTTTGTACAGGCATCTGCTTGGGTTTTTGTGGGGAAAAAGCTTTTAGGAGTTTTAAAGCATTTCTAATTATATTAATACTTTATTCAGCACAAGTGTTGGTGCTTGGGACGTTGAAAATGAGGATAATAAAGTGGTACTACTGCGTAAAGAACAAACTTGTCATCCTATGTAATAGGAAAGTTCGCAGAATACTTTAATAAATGGGAAGCCCAGGGGGAAAAAAGCATCTGAGGTAAATTAGCAGATCCCTACTTTGCAAAAAAGAGCTAAAGCCTCTGCACGGATCCCCAGTTCTTCTGAGATCATGCCATTATAACCGAATACTATAAATGGAAGGTGGCTTCCTCTGAGCGAACCTTGCATGTTTGCAACTACATTGACATTGCCTGGCTAAGAAAAGCGTTAAGAGCTGGTTCAGCCGCTTGTGCTGGCAACGCTCCCCTGCAAACCGCTCAGTGCAGTCTCAGCCATGAAACGAAACTGTTGCGTTCTGCTCCTAGGTGGGACTGTTGAGTAGAGTCCCCCCTGAGGAAAGTGAGTAGCGTTCACCTAACTGCAGAGGACTTGTGTACTTAGCTCTGCTGAAACCTCAGCCCTTGCACTGGAGCAGCAGAGCTGCAGCTGAAACCCTCCCTATCTGGTGATGATGATGATAAATGAGCTGGGGACTCATTTTGCGTGCACGTGTTGTCTGCGCGTGCACACGCGCAGGGTCCCCCCCCACCCCCATAAGCACACACGGCTTTTGATTTCCCTCCAATATCACTGCCAAAGCATGTCCCTGCCGAAAGAACTACAGACACATTAAGGTGGTCCATCTATGTGATCTCGGTCAAAAGAAGCTGTCGTAGTTTAGCCCCAGCCAGCAGCTAAGCACCACGCAGCCGCTCGCTCACTCCCCCTACCCCGATGGGATGGGGGAGAGAATCGGAGGAGTAAGAGTGAGAAACACTCCTGGGTTGAGATAAGAACAGTTTAATAGTTGAAATAAAGTAAAATAGTAATGATAATAATAACAATATATAAAGCAAGTGATGCACAATACAATTGCTCACCACCTGCCGACCAATACCCAGACAGTTCCCGAGCAGTGATCGCTGCTCCCCGGCCAACCCCCCTCAGTTCATATACTGAGCATGACGTCATATGGTATGGAATAGCCCTTTGGTCAGTTTGGATCAACTATTCTGGCTGTGCCCCCTCCCAGTTTCTTGTGCCCCTGGCAGAGCATGGGAAGCTGAAAAGTCCTTGACTAGCATAAGCAGTACTCAGCAACAACTAAACCATCAGCGTGTTATCAACATTCTTCTCCTACTAAATCCAAAACACAGCACTATGCCTGCTGCTAGGAAGCAAATTAACTCTATCCCAGCCAAAACCAGGACAGAAGCGTTCACTGCAACAGAGAAAAGACGCTGTAATTGTACACAGAATTAAAACCGCTCTGGATGGAGGAAAGCCCTGAGAAGCTGGATGATATGGCTGGAGTGACTGCCCTGATTGTCTGGCTGGTTTTTCTGCGGAGGACAGATGCACCCTGTAGCAGATGCCTTGGGCATGTCAATTTAACAGTCTGGCAAGTTAGTTTAAAACTGGTCACAAAGTGGATTTGAGTTTGCATGTCATTGGCAACAGCCATCTGCCAGTTCTGTTACAGGACTAAACTGGCACTAGCTTGTGCCTCTACAGAAGTGTTCCAGAGCTCGCACAGGGATGCCGGAGGCAGCCAGACTTTCAGACGTGCTAGACACCATTAACTTCCACCACTACTGTCTTTAAAGGCTGCCTGCCTTCTCCTGGCTCTCCGATGGTACAGACTCATCTGAGACTTAAAGATGGGTTTACAAACTAACATTGCTAGTGAAGCTGGCAGCCTTCTGCAGACACAAGGCGGGCTTTTGTTAAAATGAACGCAGGTGAAGCCAACGGGTGCCTGCACTGCCCAGGCTCCAGACTTGTCCTTACTTACTAGGAGGCAGGATGAGGCTGAAATCTTACAGGGTTCAGAGACATGTAATGGCCGTGTGATGCACTGATGATGGTGGTAATCCCACCCAAACATTGCCCAACTGTTCCACGCTCTCTCGATTTATCTAATCCCCATCAACACAGGAATTCAGCACATTTTATCACCTCCTGCTTCTGCCCAGGGCATCTTATCTCTTGCTTATGCCCACCCTCTGTATCCACAGAGCTATCTTTCACAGAAAATTGACCGTGTTCAGTGACATTGAACCACCCACTCATTAAAATTCTGTGATGTGGGAAGATACTAGTAAAACAGGTAGAACTTCTGAGTGCTCACGCAGCGCCATCATGGTTAGTCATCTCTGAACCCAGCTTCTCAGTCTCCACGTTTTTCTTTTTAGATAGAAATCTAATTAAGCACAGGGTAATCATACCATCACCAGACTAGGTTTGAATAAGCAAGTACCACTATAAGTGTCATCGCACAGGTTTCCACAGTTCAGTACTCTGAAGGAGCAGAGATTAAGCACTATAGAGGTTTAAGTTTCTTCAGCAGCAAGCCTGCCCATTGGTTTTTTTAGGTATGGTTCCTGCAGATTTCCTTGAAGCTTAGGGGCTGGTCATATTTTTATTTGTAATCTGCAGTGTTATTATGAAAACCCATTCATACAATTCAGAGAAAACAAGGAGAATGAGGAAAAAAGCTTTCCAAGTGTGCAACACACAAAGCAATATAGCCTGACATCATCAAGGCTTATTCATAAAATCAAGTCTACAGACAGAGAAACTAGCTTCAAAAATAACTCTTCTGTTTTAGAACATTTATTCACAAATGTAATTGGAAAAAAAACCCCAAAACCCAATCAGCAGCTCTTCATTCCCCAGAAGGCCTGCCTTCAAAGTCACAAGCCCACTTTTATAAAGAAACTTAGTCGCACTGGCAAGCACTGTAACTTGACGCTGGAGATCATTCCACACGGAGAGCCTCCTTGTCGGCTCAGACCCACAGCGAAGTCAGGAGAGCTCAAGACAGTTGCAGACTTGGCCTGCACAGAGCCTCACAACCTAAGGTACGAAGCCCGCTGACGCTCTCACAGTTCTTTTACGTGGGTTGTGCAGCCTGTTAAGAAACCTGCAGGAAGGAGCCACTACAAGTAGTCAAACTTCCTACCTTTCAGAACACTTGCTGGAAATTTCTAAGTGCATCGGTTACAATTCTGCTCCTCTTTTGCTAAGCCACTTCTGTTAAATGATCACTTTGCCTTAGTATTTTAAATAAGTGCTTACAAGAACTTTCGTTATAATTCTCAGCACAGTTTTTCCAGTTGTTGCTGTAAGAAAAACCACAAATAGTAACAAGCCTGTTTAATAGATACCTTTGAGATGAGCAAGAACTAAGCTGACTGAAACCCAGTTTACTATA